TTTACAGTCGTAACTTCCTCCTCATTATCATCAACAACATCTTCCTCAGCAACGGCTGTTTCATCATCAAAATTCGGGTATTGACCAATATCAAAATCATTACACACAGGGTTTGTTTCTTCTTCTGAAAAATCATCAAAATCCGAGTATTGACCAAGATCAAAGTCCGGGTATTGACCAAGATTAAATTTCGAATACTGACTAGTACTCACAAATTTTTTTGTTAGCTCATCATCGTCTAACTGGTCAATACAAAAACCGGAATTTGGTGCTGAAAGTTGATTGGGATTTGGATTAGGGAAAGGTTGTGAGTTTTGAGATTGTGTTTGGTATTGGAAATGTGGTGAAACAATATTTGCTTGGTGATGAAATTGTGGTGGAACCATTAAATTTTGAGCACCATAAACTGGAGTTGAAAAACTTAGTTGATTACTACCCGCTACTGACCCAACTTCACTACTTCTAGGTTCAACAACATACAATGTAACATCATCACTTGAAACACTAATATAAGCAATGAATCGTTCAACATCTTCATTGTCGGTTAACAAATAAACTTTACTATTTCTCTGATAAGATAGTCTAAATCCACTTAGGGGATCTAAATTCAATTTATTTGCAACACGTAACATTAGAGTTTCATAAGTTAACTTTTTTAATGACAATTTTAGTTGAAGATTCATGGGTAAAGGCATATATTGTAAAACACCATGAACATTCTCCCATGACCCTCCAAAATTCAAATCTATCCAAATATGATCAACATTAGATGATTTCATTATTGTAAATTAATTTACTAAACAAACGAGCTGCGAAACTAAAACCTGTTACCGGATGGGGAAGGATGTCGTTGGATATAGGAGCGGATGTCGCCAGAGAGAGTGATAGATAGAGATGGAATGAGTTGCGATTTAGGGATTTAGGTTATGAGTTGCTGCTACTGCGTAGTTATATACCCAAAACATTTGTGTTGCGAAATTAAAACCTGTTGCGAATTCAGAAATCGAGTTGCGAATTTGAAATTCAATATTGCGATAGTCAGAATCTCGTTGCGATTTACTAAATCGCAATGCGATTACGTAAATCGCAATGCGAATTAGGAAAATCGCAATGCGATTTACGTATTCGCATTGCGATTTAGGAAAATCGCAACGCGAATTTGGGAAATCGCAATGCGATAGTCAGAATCGCGTTGCGAATCTGGAAACTGATTTGCGATACCAGAGATCGCGTTGCGAATTATCGATCGCATTGCGATTTAGTTGGTCATTTTGGCAAATCCAAAAAAAGTTGGTTAAAATAGTATATTATAAGGCATTTTTGGACACTGAGGTTATTTTCTATAATTAATATATTATTTATAAGGATGATATCCAACTACACATTATAAAAATTTCTAATTTTACATAGTTTTAAGACTATTGAATGAGGTTAAATAGACCATCAATATTAATAGTAGAAAATAAAAAAAATATTCAATAAAAAAGATAATATAAATTTTAAGATAATATTATTGAAAATAATAATTATGAATTTAGGATGTGGTTTATAAAATAAATATGAAAGATAAAAATTAATAATTTTATGTATTATTGTTTTATATATTTATAGTAAATAATTATATCTTTCATTGAGTAATATGAATTAATTTTGAATTCAATATATTTAAGTTAGATAAATATAAATTTCAAAGTTTTTGGTTGTATCTAGATTTGACTGTGTTAGTGCACAAACCAATCGACTTTAGTGGTTAAATAATTTGTTGTTATCTTTTAAGGTGAGTACCATGTATGTCAGAGGTACGAGACTTAATTATCAATCCAAAGACTAAGAATCTTTGAACATATATTATTTAGTATTAATTTCAGATTTATATAAAAAATGGTTGTGTTATTTGTTATCATCTTGGGATTGGGTGATTTTAATTTAAATTATTTAGGTTTTAGGCTTTTTATTTAAGTTTGAGGATTAAGTTCAAATATTTTTGGTTAATTATCTTGATAATTTCAATTTTCATACTTTTAAATTTGATTTAAATTAATATAAATTTTAATATTTTATTTTAGATTGGATTATACTTTAAATGAGTGGTTTATATATTAAAAAAAGTTGATTAGCATACAATTTATTTATTAAGAGCTAATAATGAATTAAATATATCAACTGAATTAAATAAAAATTGCTTAAAGAATATATGTTTAAAAATGGATTTATTTTGTTAAATTGTTGGGGGTGTATTGTAATTGTCATTAATTGATGTATTTTGATTATAAACACTTGTATGATTGTAACTTAATCGAACACATGTGCAATGATTACCTTTTATAAACATGGGTTAATAGAACAGAAAGTCAAACGGCAAGAAACCGAACGACATGTGATAATTGGCATAACAGCCGAGCAGAAGACGTGGCAGAATGCAATTGGATAAAGGGCTTCACTAGATCTTGCGTCCCGTCTAGTAATCATGTGACGACCCTATTTTAGATATAACCGTTCGATCGAATCGATTTAAAAATTTTATGTTAATGAGTTTTATTTTATAATTCAAATTTTATTTAAATTTTTTGAACTGAGCAGATTTTATAGAATTCAAATCGAGCCGAATTATTTGAGTTTTTGTTTAAATTTAATTATAAATATTAATAATATTTGATTATAATTTAAACTATTTTCTATAACTACATATATATATATATTTATTTATTCATCTTTTTTCACATGTTATGTATATATCATATAGAGTTGGATGACTTAATACATTAATTAATAAAAATTTTGAATTAATAAAGTTATTATTTTAGTTATTTGAGTTTTATTTTATAACTTTAATTAATTTAATGTTTTTTAATTGAACAAAGGCGGAAGGAACATATGCTATCCGGTAGGGGTGGTGCCCGTAGAAGATGGGGACATCCCACCTTATCGGCACATTTGATTCTTCTAGACTGAGATGTTAAGTGCTATATTGTATGTAATTTGCTGAAAACGAAGGATTTCGAATCTCACTAATTATATTTATGGGACAAATAAATCAGTTTTCATTCAAAGAAAAACAAAAATATTTATCGACTTCGACACTAATCAAATTGGACATTACACAGAGAATTAATATTTAAAGTATCAATATATCTCTTTTCAAATTTATTATAAACTAAAATCTTTTAAATTTATTATGTATAATGTATCGTTATCTGATTCACGTAAAATCATATTTCATCGACGCATCAAATACCATACATTCTTCTTTTAATCTCTAGGCCAAGAAGAGAATTAAGCGTTGAAGTTCAACTTGGTATGAAGAAGTTCGATGAAACTTTAGAGTCACATAATGGGAATCAGAATAAAGAAAATGGAGAAAGGGTATTAGGTGCTTTGTTTGCTGTAGCTTTACAACACTGGTTTGTTTAATAGCTGAAGCAAAACCCAGGCTGCGCCACCTGTTGGATGGTGCAGTCAGCAGCACATTGCTTTATCCAACCAAACCCTTCATTTGATATCTTTTCAGCCATCTTCCTTCTCTCTCTCTCACCTCATTCAGATGGATTGTTGGTTGCTTTTAAACATTTCGGAAAATGATGAGAGATTGGGTTGCAGCCAAAAGAAGGAATAATTCCTATACAAGGCTCACTACAAGACAAAAAGGTAAAAGTGTAACAGTTGTATTGTGTTAAGTGAATAAAATAAGATTAACATCCACATTATAAAGTAAAGATATTGCCTCAAATTCATTAGCTGATGATGAAAAAGAAAGAAAACAAGTGTAGATATAAAATTTGGACCATTCCATACTTGTCCCAACCAAACCCTCCATATCTACATTATCTGTGTCCCATTATCATGTAATCACATGAAAATGTTCATCTTTTTAAGCAACTTACTAGTTCAAAACAAACGATCGGGGAAGATGAAGGTGAAGGTTTCGATATAGATTCGAAATTTTCATTGAACCATGGAAAAAGCATTATGTAAGATGACGGTTCCACATTTGGCATTTGCACATCCCTATCAACCCACCATTCACTGTCTAAGCTTAAGACCCCATTGCATCCACTTGATCAATGCAATGAATGAATCCCAAATCACTTACTGTCCTTTTCTTTTTCAACTGAGGAATGGAAGCATCAACATCTTGATGCTAGCTAGATTTTCACATGAGAAAGGGACCAATGCGCCACACATTCTACATTACAAGACTGTTTTTTAGACAGTAATGTTCGACATTTTTACTTTAGAATTAAGAGACTGTTAAATGACAAGGGCAGGTTTGAACCCTGGACATGGGATGCTGGTTAATGCAAACCGGATTGTAGATGGATCCTTTGCCAAATTGTCTCCCAATTTGGCTCATGATTTGTAATATTTCATCCCTCAAGCGATTCTATCCGGTAAACTACATCCATAACCATTTAACTATATGTAGATTTTATTGGCCATCAATCTTTTAATTTTATCAATTAAACTACTTAATTATACAAGTGTTATCAATCAAGTCACCAACTGTTAACATTAACGGATGAAATGACATGACTGTTAAAAAATAGTATAATTATATATTTAATCCTGAATATTTACACATTTTATCAATTTAATCACGTCAGTTCCTCCATTAAATGTTAACTACTAGTGACTTCATTCGCAACACTTAAACAGTTGAATGATTTGAAATTGATTGATAAAAATAAAAGATCCATGGTCAAAATAAAATCCACACATAATTAAGTGGTCATGTGTGTAGTTTACCCATTCATATATCTGTTCATCTTACTTTCATACCTGAATTACGCTTTGGCTAGAGATGTCACCCAAACCAGACCTGGAGCATTTGATTCTTTTACTTTGCCCCAGCCCAGACATACTCGAATTACAATACAAAAACTTGACCCAGACTCGGCCCATACTCGGATCATTTCCAACATCCATTAACTACCATACTTTTTTCTTATAAATGGGTAAACTTGAGATGTGGGTAAGAGAACAAAGAACGCCAAAACATGGGGCATTGCTACACCTTTGTTCAATAAGCTAAATAAAAAGTAGCTATGTCTTCTTGTTAAGATACAAAAATACTGCCTCAATCCCAGAAATCTTTTACATATGTAGCGGCAAAGCTATACCTGCAAATAAATAGCCATCCCATCTCTCGACTGAATCTGCCAACAAATCCAGAAGTCCGATCGCTTCTTCATTTGAAATTGACATTTTACTGGGTAGTTTGCACCAGATGGGAAGAAAACACACCATTTACTTCCAAAAATTGCTTTGCTTGAAGTTCTGCTACAGAGTCAACAACTGAGACTTGTGATCAATAGCATTGAATATGAATGTGCCACACATGGGAACAAACTGTTTTGTTATAAGCTGCAGCAAACACAAACTTTGTGATTTCACGGCACCAAGTCATGTGATATGTAAAATCATTTTTCAGTAAATTTCTCCAGGCATACCACAGAAACATGAATTTCGAACACAGCCAACAAAAGACTAAAACGCTACCTTGATCACTTCTTGTGATGCAATTCCTCCAATGACAGCAGCAACAGCATGGAGCTCTGCAGCTCCAAATCGGCACATTTCATTAATAAGGTCCTCTGTCAGTGTTAAACCAGTACAACCCATATCATTAAGTAGACAAACAGCAGTAGTTTTTAGCCTAGATATATCCTCATCCAATCCACTGCAAAACAATAACAGCATAGTTAGAATGCAAACTTCAGGTTATGATATCCGAAGAAAGAAAAACTACGATGTGTTACGCTTACCCATCAAACTGCCCTGGAAAGTGGTTAAAATTTGCAGCGTAGCGGTCAACAGCTCTTAGAAGAATATAGAAAACCACAGAAACACTGAAACGCATAAACAGAAGATCATGTTTTGTACACATCAACAAGTTTTGAATTGCAAATCAACAAAAAAAAAATCAAAACATTTTAAACACAATAGTAAAGGACCTACATTGTCACTATTACATTACACAGATTATCAAACAAATTAACTTAGGTTCCATTTGGTTGATGTTTTGCCTTTCTCAATAGAAAGTGAAAAGCCAAAGATTAGAGAAAAGAACTGAAAACAAGGGACAAATTGCAAAAAGCAGAAGCACCAATCAACGGAACATGAGTTAAGCATTTTATATGAAAGAATCTTCATGTAGTATTAACATATTACCATATAAAAGAAGTATCAAAATTTGAGTCACCAGACCTGTAATCTTCATCAGTTAAATACTTCTGCAGCTCAGTAAGGGATGGATTATTATACTCCTCCTCAATGGAGCGATACCTACAAACCTACAAAGAAAAGATTAGTTGAGGGACTAACCCAAAAGGGGCATGACTCACTGTGATCTATTTGGAATCATCAATCAGTAAACATTGTACATCATTCTATTAATTGTAACATAAACATTCATGCAGGTCAGCAGGCAGGATGCTGATAACAGAAACTTATGGCAGGAAGATCCAAATTAACAGGAAAAAAAATGAAAATAAGACTGGAACGACTATGGTCTTTATGCTAGATGGAATAAAACCAGATTACTTGATAAAATGCATTCAACAAAGTACGGTAAAGATCAACTGAGGTCCTCCAGAAAGTAATACTTGAAGCCATATTATAGTCCCCAAATAGTTTACTTACCTCATCTGCAATTGTTATGAATGATGACATTTATATCATTAGTCTTCTCGTGTCAATAAGGATACATGCAATAGAGTGAATCATTAAATAGAAAACAGATAAAAAAGTAGCACTTACTTTGAGTTTTCTAGCATTTTTACAAAAGCTTTTTATAGTAGCTTTAGGAATACTATGGGGATCTCTTCCAATTTTCTTAAGAATATTCCTAACTCGTTCTTCAATGACATGATAATCAGCCTCAGACTTAGTCTGATAGATCTTCTGCAAGTTGACATAATGCCTGAACAAGAGAATTGATAGAGTTGTTATTCTCAAGTTTAGAGAAAAGGAATGCTAGAAATTTTGTAGGGATCAATCACTAACTCAGTTGAAGATGTCATATCTGGTATTGACCCCTCAAGTGGTACCTCCCCACCACCTTCATTTGCAATAAATTCCTGCATAAAGTTCACAATTGCAAATACTAATTTAGATCTTGAGAAATTTGTAGGAGCTTGAATAGAATTAAATTGAAGATAATCATAAAGGATTATAGCAGGATCGATGTTGATTGGATATTCAATAATCCTTAAGAAATTGTAAATAGCCAAAGTAATATCACCAAGAATGTAGCATGGAAAATGCAGGTTTAAACTATATGATCAATATCTTATATAGTTGCAGAATAAATAAAGCAAATATCATGGCACCAAAACTCCATTCAAAATCCCACAACTCTTGTACTCCCCACTTATGATCATGAATCAGAAACTCAGATAGATGGTGTCACTTAAATGAAGAAAACAGACAATAAAAAGTTGAAAACAAATTATGGAGACAACACTGCAACTGAAATTTCATCTAAAATTTTCCCAGAAATATTTGAAAGAGTGAAATGGTTCTGAGAAACAAATCAGCTATGTGAATATGCGTCTTTGGTCATAAAATGAGAAAATGTCACATTAGCTGTCATCTTTCATGGTTTACAGAGAGTCTTTTGGTATACAACCATTCCATACATGTATCAACAGACTAGTGCCCACAGCTAATTAGGTGCCACTGCACAATACCACTTCAGCAACAGTATCTACAGGAGTAAATAATTATTGAGGTTATAGCAGAGTGGGTTAAATTTTAAATACCAACCTTCAAAGCTGCGACCATAACCCAAAAGTCAGAAGAACCAGTGCCAATTTCAGCACAGTTATCATTAATTATCTGCTGCAAATCCGAACCTGAGATTTAAAGGGGGGGGGATTGTTAAGCACCGGCCGAAGTAGTGTTTGATTTTCCCATCTGATACTAAATCAACACATAACACAACTAAACCAATGTAAAGCATACTGCATTGCAATTACACAAAGAAGCTTCATCAAGAAAAATAAAGTGTCCACCAAATCATACAAAGGATACTATCCCCACTCAAATTGTTTCACATCAATAAGCTCTTTGCAAAATATATAGTATGTAGCGTACTACTACTATGAACAAAGAGCAAGGTGCCTCAAATCTTTGGCCTTGAAAACATAATGTACAAGATTAAAATCAACTCCTATCCCGGCCAAAAAGTGTTGCCAGGGGTCAAATGGATTTCAAGGTCCGAGGCTATAGACGTCAGGGAATCTTCTAAAACCAAATAAGTTTTTCATTCCATTTCCATAAAAGAGAAAATTCTATGGAAATATTTAACCATCCAAAAGTTGATTCGTGACCCTACTAAGACAAACTTACTGATTCCTTGAGGAGTAAACACTTTAAAGGAGGCATCAATAGCTTCTTTATAGTTTTCTTCATCCATTGCAGCCATCCTAGATTTGAGAAGTTCCTAAAATGTCCAAGAATTAAACCTAAATCTCACAGACATAAAACAGAAGAAATAAAATCTAGCAGATAAAATATACAGAAATGCAAACCTTGAACTCTCTTTTCTCTTCCCTGGTTGATGGTAGAGTACCTCCATGGCTAATCTTCCACTCATCGACCATCTTCACAAGGATGACGACATACGGTATGTGCTTATGAGCAACAGGATCTTGCACATTTAGGTCAATAGCTTGAGAAAACCTATTATATGTAAATGCCAGTCAGAACTCCAGTTGAGGAAAACAAATGATACGAGCTTGCCGCTTAGAGTTTAGAGAATACTCAAATATTTTTTAAGAGCACAATAGGAGTAAAATCATTAAGAAAGGAACATCATTGCATAAATTATAAAAATCCTTTAACGACATACCAAAGGTTTCATCCCAAAATTATGGAAAATATCTACTTACCTCCCCCACCAACAAAATTAAAAAATTTGACCACTGACCATAAGAGGGGAGATTGCATGATTTCCGGGAGATGAGTTTTGGATTCCAAATACAAAAATGCAATGAACATTCTATCTAATCTCAATGATGTTTTAACAGTTAAATTGACAATAGGAATACACAATAGTGCAAGCTTATAGCAAATACAGAAGTCAAACCATGCACTGAGAAAGAAAATAAAATAAAAGATAGATACCCTCTCAACTCAGGCCATGGATTATTTAACCGAAGGTCATCTAGAAAATGGTCAGGCTTTGACTCAATTACAGTGTGTTCCTGCCACAAGCAAAACATGAGTCATTTTAAGCCATTTCCCCTCTTTTTTGTCTAAATACTAAACTTATGAAAATGTCAAATAACCATTCATATATATGGGCTGGCTTATATAAGTTCAATAGAAATTCAAGATTTGTTCCTGCCGATATCAAGCTATATCAGTGAGATATCAATGCCATGACCTCTGATACATAGGATGAAAACAGAAACAACATAAACCACAACATGTTTACCTTCATACTGATTCGAACTAAACCTGTGAGGCCGTAGGAGCGAGCAAATATCAACATCACATTTTCTTGTCTACAGATTCTATCAAGCTTCACCATAGCCTCTTCCACCAGCTGAAACAACAACATAGTTAAAAGGGAAGAAACATAAAACCAGATGATTCTTTTAAGAAACATAGCAACGCAAAGTTACGAACAAATCCACCTTAATTCCAAATTTTCTTAGCACACATGGAGAACAATAAAACCGGAAGTATAAACAAAAACTTTTTAAGTAACCACTAGCGGCCTAAAAAGGGTACCTAACAGTTAAGTTCATCAGTAGAAGTTCAGCAATGGGAAGATTCCTTACCTGAGTGGCCACAACCAAGGTAAACTGAGAAAAGAAAGATGGGTTGGTGTCGATTAAAGCCTCAGGATGCTCTTCAATAAACTTAGCTTTAACAGCATCGTTTAGCTCTTGGAGGAATGAACAAACACACTTGGCTTTGGACTGACCGAGGCTTGAATCATCAACTACCCCAGAACAATTCCCAAAATTAGAAGACAATATCGTTAAACCCTAAAATAAAGGACATTAAAAAACGTGAAAAGGAAATGGGGAAGCATACTAAAACCTACCCATAAAATTGTTTCCAAGGTCACCAAATTCAACCTTAGATCCATCGACTATAGTAATGCTCCCAACACCACCAAGAACAAGATTCTTCAAAGTCTCAGAACCAGTCGGCCCACAATTTAGTAAACATATGCTCGCTTTCTCGAGAGCTGCTTGGCCTTGTTCACCCCATATCCTACCAATTTTTAAAGGAAAGAAAATTTCTTGATATTGCAAATAGGCAAAGCAACTTAGATTATTCGGGAGGAAAACTCTATTAAGACGTGAATTCTTTCAACACTTCTAATTCCTTCTGGGGAAAAGAGAAAATCACTCAAAGAAAAAAAAATTAAAAAGGAATAAAATTGACAGGTTACCTGAGCTGGCGATCGTATTTGGTTTTAGGTTCCGCCATTGTTAAACCTCAAATATGGTTCTTCGCTTGCTCACTACGCAGTACGCAAGGACCACGCTACATCCAGTCTATGTTTTAAGGACGGTGGCGACGATACTGAAACGCATCGTTTAGGATAGGCCTAAATCTGCTTGCTAATTGCTGCTTTTTTTCTTTTTCTTTTTGTTCGAGCTAAATGTTAATTTTGATACGGGAAATGTTGACCTCAAAGGCATATTGTCAAAAATAGTTCTTAATATTTTATAATTTTTCACTTCAGTCCTTAATTTTTTTGTCAAACGACTTCTTAATGTTTCAATATTTTCAAAATCATTTATTCTTTTTAATAATTTATTGGTTTGATGACATGGCATGACACATTGTATTGTCATATCATTATTAAAATTGAATATTTTTGATGTGATATTATAAAAATTAATATTAAAATACTGTTTAAAAAATCTCAAAATTGAGTTTTGATAGATTTCTTCTTTAAGGTGGTTTTTCTTTTCTTTTTATAAATTTAAGTTTCTTAGAGGAAATTATTTTTTTCTTCTCAAAATTCCTATCATTTATCATATTTATTATCGTTTTCTTTTTCGAAAAAAGAGTGACATCCAACGATTCACCATTTTTTCCTTATTCTTTTATCAATTTAATTGTCTGAAAACAGGCCTAAAACTTTTAAAATAAAACTCAAACTTTTGAGTAATGATGGAAAAATAATTGAATCTAATATGTTTTAACTTGATCGATTTTAATATAATAGGATTAAATTATTTTTTTAAAATTGAGTTTTAGGCTGGAACAAGCCGATTGAATATATATATATTTTTTTGTTCGGGTATAATTGAATTTGGAGATAATACTTCGCCTAATTCAAGATATTTACAAAAATATCCTTATATATATATACATGTATTTACGAACCATAAAATGAGATGAAAATTACTAAAAGACCACCGATAAACTGTATATTAAAGTCGAGGGACGTGGGACACTATCAACAAATACAATTGCGTATCCCAATCCAATTTGAGTGTCCAGAGTAGAAAAAAATCATCATGATAATAAATAAGTGTCATCTGGATTAATTGAGGCGTTGTTAAATCCACCCAAGAGAAAGATAAAAACAAAAAAAGGTAAAATGTAAAAAAATACTATAGAGTTATTGAAAACTAAAAATAAAAAGGGAAATAAAGATGCAATATAAAAATAAGCAAAAAAATCAGAAATATCATGATCGACAACTAATATTAAAATTGGTGTCGTCGTCGGTCAAATAAAAATATAAAAGGAGAGTGGCACAAGAAGAAAAACAACCTAAGGAACATCCTAGGGAGTGCGACCCCATAACATATTTAGATAAACTACATAAATCATCACTCAACTTTTTTCTCACTCCTATTTTGATCACTTAAGTATAACATTTTTCATTTTAATAACTAAATTATAAACATATAATTTTTTTGTCACTCCTCTATTAATTTACTAACATAGTGATCACATGACATTTTAAATTAACTTTTCTCTTTGACTTTTTAATTTTTATATATTTTTTATGGGACCAGGGACTTATTGGGCCTAGACATGAGGGTTACCCAAGATTCAGAATTTTTATAATGCATTATATTTGTAAAAAAATAATTTTAAATTAGTTATAGGGCTCAATTATTTTTAATACTTGTTATCAAGAGTTTAATTTTTTTCTCAATATTTATTATTATGAGCTCATTTTTTTAATATTGGTTATTAGAGTCATACTCTTATAATTTTTTTAATATTTGTATAAGTATCCAATTTTTTGCTAATACTTTTTCTAACATGTATTATTAAGGGACTAATTTTTTCAATACTTATTATCAGGGGTCTAATTTTTTTAATATTTGTTATTAGGGGTATACTTTTAAAATTCAATTTCTTTTCTAATATGTATTTTTTATTAGGAGTCTAATTTTTTCGATACTTTTTATTAGAGGTCAATTTTTGTAACACTCCAATTTAGGGGCTAAATTTAAGAAATTATAAAGTGGTTAATTTAATTGGTATTTTTGGAAGGAATTGGGGATTAAATTGTAACATTTCAAAGTTGGCAGACCGTTTTAAGAAGTGCAAGAAGTTCAGTGACTAAACTCATGGTTTACCCATTTTTATTATGAATTGAATTATAAATCCCCCATTCCCGTATGTTTTCTGGAAAATTTTCCAGATTTTCCCTCTACGATCAACCAACTTTCAACTCCGATCTACTCGCCGTCCGACCTACGATCGACAAGCCGAAACCACCATCGTGTTCGTTGTCAACCGAGGAACAAAATCCCTCAAACCGTTAGTCGTGAATCATCTCCGTTCGTCGTTAATTTCAGTCGGAAGTATCGTCGGTAATAACTCGGTTTTAGTTGGTTTTTCATCGATGCACGACGATCGGGTCATCCGTTTACGACACCTCCCGCACCATCGTGTTCCTTGTGCCGTTCCGAGTCCACCGGTGTCCTCCTTTTTCTCCGCCGGCGGGGGATGGTTCAATTGACCGGTTTGACCGGTTTTGGTGCATAGTTGACCGGTTTGACCGGTCATAACCCGACCCGACCTGACCCGTTGACCCGACCCGACCTGTTGACACGACCCGTTGACCGTTGACCCGTTGGCCGTTGACAAGCGTTGACCAATGTTGACCAAAACTTTGACCGACTTTGACCGGGAATTAAACGACCTTTGACTTCGACTGAGTATACCTATCCTGACATTTTTCGACGTTCCAAATCCGATTCCGCTGTCTGTTTTTCGAAATTCGAACCCAAAGGCCTCGAAATTACAGGTCAAACCCGTTGACTTTGATTTTGACCGAAAATTTCAAATTTCCGAAAAGTCATATTTTATGCTTTCGACGTCCTGAATCCGAATCCGAAGTCCGTTTCGCCAAATTCGAACCCGGTAAGCCGTCTTTCACTGACTTATCACATGATTCGACCCGTTTATCGCAATTAAGCTCCATTTCTGATATAATTTATGTTGATATGTATCTGAGGAATTATTGGAAGTTGAATTGAAGATCAAAGGCATTCGATATGATGTTTTATGAAACATGTTTATATTGATAAATGCATGAACAAGATAATGTTGGTCACTTTGGTGAAGTTGAATAATTTATACACTCGATATGATGTGGTAGAAATTCTGTAACTAATTACGGATCGAATGACTAATATAAGAGATTAAGGAATTGTGAGATTAAATTACAAGTTTGTGATTAGTGATAAAGAAATCAGCCCTGTATCTGCAACTTATAATTTATTTCATCAAAGGTTAAATGTTAAAGGTACTTGGTTGGGAAATTATGAGAATACTCTGGTAGGGTAAAATTATGAAAATACCCTTATGTTATAAAAAGACAAGATTTGAATATGGAAGTTAGATAAGAGGATTTTACAGACATATTGATCTGATAAAAATATTGACGTGTATAAGAAATGTTAGTTTTATTTGGAAATTATGGATAACCGGTTTTAATCCTATGAGAGTTTGTGAAGGATACTAGAAGTTTGTTAAGAGAACCGTTTCAAGATCAGAGAGTGTTCAAGAAAGCAATTAATCATAGGATCTCTATATTATATTATTTTCGTTAAGAGCTAATATCAAAATTATCTAGTTAAGAAATTACGAAAATGCCCTTGAGAGATTAAATAGTCTGAGTTGACCCTAAATGAGAAAGTACTTTGAGGATTTGTACTTAACTCGATTAAGTACGAATTTAATTGTTAAGATCCTATCTTTGTACAGAAAAAATTCATGATATTCCGTTTGTAAAATCTGAGAAGACACTTGACCCGAAAATATCCAAATAATGAGTAAATACTTGAAGAATAATTTATCGGGGGTATTCTGCTGTCAGAATTATTCGAAAGGACTAAAGTAAATGATAAGATTGAATTAAATAATAAGACCGAATGGAAGGAAAAGATTGAAATACCGTAGATCTGTAAAATGACCAAAATACCCCTGTAATGGAAATGACCCAAGAATATCATCAAGCTCAGAAATGATTGGATATCCTCGAGCTCTGAAATGAATGGAATAAAACTGAATACCAAAATTTACAAAATAACCTTATGGCCTATACTAAGTAAATGTATTGGATTAATTAAGGAATCCAAGTAAGCATAGGTATTGGACTATCATTAAAGGTAATGAAAAACAATTTAAGTGAGTAGATCAACCCTAAAGCTATGTCAATTCCTGAATGGCATAGATATTACTGGAACATGTGTTCGTCTTCTCAAGTTTGGCTCGATGATAAATTTTGGAAGTATTCAGCTCAGCTCAGCTCTAGACTGTATTCAATACTAAGAATTTGATGTTTGTTCGACAATCAACCACGAAGACCAAATTGAATGGAATAGAAGTACAACATGTATCTGAAATTCAGGAACGCTTGAATTACTCTAGAAAATCTTGAAGTAACTGGAATGGAGATGAATGCTAAATGAAATAGGTAACCTCAATGACTGAGGATTTAGTAAGTGATTTGGATAAGTCTGGAAACTCTGATGAGTTTACGTAGTGTACAATTACAATGGGTTATGAACAAATTAATCAAGTACGTCAATATTTCATGATATTGTGGAAGTGCGGAAATGAAATAAAGACATTGGAAGATTTATTCAACGATGATTCCGAAAATGGTCTATGGACAAAAATTGTGGTATTAAAGAGTAAATACCCTGGAAGAACAATGAATTGACCAATTGACAGGCATTAGTTCTGGGAACTATTCATGTAAGAGTTGTCTGATAATCCGATCAATCGACATAGAATATAAATATCCTGAACCTTCATTTCTTCCTTATCAGCTCAAGTCACATTCTGAATAACTGATGATTCTGTCAGTCATTGAACTCTTTCAATAGTGATTCTGAATTCTGATATTCTATCGGTATACTGAAAATCCGTATTCCTCTACTTGTTAAGATTATCCAATATCTTTGAATACTATCTGTAAATTCTGGTGTGTTCCCTACTCACATGAATATTTTATCTGATTTTCGATTTGAATTCTGATATGATACTTGACATGGATTCTGATCTGATATCTGACATAGATTCTGATCTGATACTTGACTTGGATTCTG